AATAGTTTCGAAAGATATTAATTTTAAGATAGTCAAAACAGTCCGTGAATAAGACTTAACTTTTCTGATGAAAGCTGTTGTTTGATTTTAGTTAAGTTTTTGGTGTTTTAACTATCATTCCCCCTAAAACTTGAAGAAAACATGAAAATGTAGGGGTGTGAACTCACCTTGAGTGATTTCAGAAGATAGATGATGAAGAAAAGAAGTGTTCAACTCAAGGACACTTAGAAGATGCTTGAGGATTCGAAGATCTAACAACAAATATGACGATATTTGTGTAAGGAACTCATGATTTGAGAGAAGAAGTGTATGGAAATCAAGTGTGGGAAAAGATTTACTTACCAAAGGTGTGTGAAGAGCTCAAGATCAGCCTTGAATCTCGAATTCTTGGTGAGAGGAAGTGAGAGAGAATGAGTTTTGCTTTTTGGTGAAAAGTGAGTGAAACGGGAGGAGAGATAAAGATCCTTCTAGCCTTTGATCAAGATTATGGCTGGAAATGAGTGTAAAAAGGACAATGATTGACTAGGTATGGGTGGATAGTGACTGGAAATGGTCATGGAGTGGGTATGGGAGGTAACTTGTGTCCTTGCCCAAAGGATAAGTCAACACTCCACCTAAATATCTCACCCACTAGATTGTATTCTTAAATAAAGATTTCCCTAAAAATGTGCTTAATTTATGAATATATGGGGTCTTATATGTCAAAATATAAGTTTGGGTGAAAATCCAACGTTAAAATAATAAAAAACGGGCTTAAAACGGAGTCGTGGTCGAAAACCGGGTGGAAAAGGGCTTCATGCGAAGCTTCTAGGATTGGGCCGGAGGTTCGATCGTTAGCAGCTTGGACCCGAAGGCGAAATAGGTGAAATGGGCCGAAGGCGAAGGCAGGAAGCGAAGGCGAAGTTCGGTGCATCAGGGTTCGGGTCAGAAGCTTCGGGTTCGGTTCAGAGGGTTCGGTTCTTCAGCAGTTCGGTCGAGCAAGCTCGGTTCGGTTCTTCATGGTTTCAGTCCCTAAGGTTTCGGTTCTAATGGGCTTCGGTCCTCAGAGGTTCACCTCTAAGAGGTTCGACCCTATTTGGCTGATTTTCGCATAAACTCCCCGTTTTGCGCAGTTTTTCACCAAGTTAAGTGTCGGGATGCGCCAAATAATTATAAAAAGTTAAAAGAGATTGTGAGAGAGATTTGGGAGAGATTCCACATACTTGGAGAGATTTCTCATACTTAGAGAGATTTGGGAGAGATTTCACATACTTAGAGAGATTTCACATACTTAGAGAGATTTCTCATACTTAGAGAGATTTGGGAGAGATTTCACATAATTGGAGAGATTTCTCATACTTAAAGAGATTTGGGAGAGATTTCACATTCTTGGAGAGATTTCTCATACTTAGAGAGATTTGGGAGAGATTTCACATTCTTAGAGAGATTTATCGTACTTAGAGAGTTTTGGGAGAGATTTCACATTCTTGGAGAGATTTCTCATACTTAGAGAGATTTTGTTTGCGACCTTTTTGAGTGTTTGGCTTCGTAACGCAAGGTTTGTACATCCCGTTAAGTCTCGTTATGAATGTTATACGCCCCCGAGGGGTATGGAATAATGTTTTGACTGGGACTTCAAGAATTTGGAGAAAAGATGGGGGAACTTTTCGTAGTACAAGAAATTGATATGGTGGGGACCAATCCGCCTGATGTTAAATGACGACCTTGGAATTTCTTATTGTAACTTGAGCTGAGTCGATTTAAAAGGAGTTATTGTTTTGGAATGATAGTGTATTCTATGTGTTCCTTTATGTTCCCCGTTTTATCCATGTTGTAACCATTACGAATATTCCAGGTTCTAGTTAGTGAGTACTAGTATTACGAATGCTTCAACAATTTGTGACGAAATTTGCATTATAAGTCCTACCATATCTTTTATAATTGCTTGGTGTAAACTAATCGTATATCAATAAGATTGCAAGGGCATTCGGATGAGTGACCCCGCCTTAAGCCCACAACCAAACAAGGAACAGGAAATGAGGCGGAATCACACATTCTAAGTCCATAGAATCTTAATGATATATGACCATAACGTTTACACTAGCCATCATAGATTCACTAGTAAAAACCCTGCGTTTTTATATAGATGATAAGACTTATTCGGGTTTTGCCGTGTTCTCGAGAATCTTTCAGCCTTTCTCAAATTTGTACTAAGTTATAAGTGATAACTTCTCCTCGGAGCGCTGCATAGGGCCTGCTTTAGTGTTTCTCGTCTGATTAGATCGGTAGGGAACATATGGGTTCGGTTTACACGACTAGACTTATTCGGATGGTAGAACGTTCACTCGCACTCCTGGGTAGCCTTGTCCCGAAGTTCATGGTAGGACTCGTACCTGGTCCATCTATCATTAACTTGCACATATAGGTCGTATGTAATTAAGGTTGGTAAGACAGTTGGATGGGTGACTCTGCCCCAAGTCCACAAACAGACAAGGAACAGGAAATAGGGTGGTAACACACATCCAATGTCCGTAGAATCTTAAGTATATATTATCATCGCGTATACACTTAGTAGTGATAGACTAACCGTATTCGTCCCAAGCTTCTGTGCTTGAACCTTATCTGCTGCATGCGTGACATTCCCGAAGGGTCTTCTGGAAATACTTGTGGAAAGGTTTCGGAAGGTATAATACTCCTCTGGTGAGTGTTTTGGGGTTTCACGGTGAGAGATGACCCGGAGGTCCGTGTCGGATTTGTGTTTATGAGAGATGAAGGTTTCGATATTCAGTGGGTTAGGTGAAGGGTCCTTTCGTAGCCGTTTAATCGGGAAGGTGAGGACTATACCAATCGAAATCGAATGAAGACAACAATATCTTTTTAGGTAAAGGATGTGTTAAGCTGTATTCGCACGAAATGTTCGTTAGAGTGATAGAGCACCTTGTGTTTCTTTTCAGTGTGTTCCGTTTTGATCGATGTTATTGTTACTGCAATTGATTCGCATTGCTGTTACTAGTACTGATAGTAGGAGTGTCGCAAAACTAGGTTATTAGTTTTCAAGTATAGTATTTCCCGATTTTTTGAATGTGGCAATCAATTCATAGTAGAGGTTTATATAAATAAACTTATGAATTTAGTATAAATGACTCGAATGTAATCTTGTTATTTGTTCCATGCCTGATCCACTCCTAAGATCACCCGATGTATACCAGTTGTGTGTAATTAAGGTCCAATAGGTCGTTGAACTTAATGAGTCTGCCCTAAGTCCACAACCAAACAAGGAACAGGACCTAAGGAGGACTTACTATTTCTAAGCTGATCGTCTCTTAATTACACATAATATTGAGGTATACATTAAGTAATCTTAGGGTTACCATAAGCAAATCGTTTGTAATAACAAGTTATGAAATATGTGGTAAACTCCCAATGAATTAAAATGCATGACAATTTTATTGATATACTCTAGTTCATAGAGTTCAGGAAAGTTTGACCTTATATTAGGTCTATATTTCGTTAATGTAAGGAAAAACTTTGACGGTGACACGACCCCTTGAATAGCGTAGTCTCTAAATTTTGAAGGGTCGAATATATGTATATGACGGGGCGGTGTTCAAACGCACGCCAGGAGTTTGAGTCTGTAATGGTATGTCAGTAGTGTACACACTACTCGTGGCGGGTGATGTTCCGTGGGCCATAGAATGAAGACATGAAAGTTTGCATTGCCCTAAACCTTGCCCTGGCTTTTGCCATTTGATGTTCTGTTTTTACCACGCGTTTTCTCTAACGTTGTTTGACGTTCCCGATATTCTCTAATCTCGGCTCGAGTTGTGGTCACTTCCCTCTGAAGGCTTTGATGTGGTTTCTGATCTGTTCATGGCCTCCATCCAGGCGACGAAGGCAAATTTCGGTGATCTTGGTGGTAGCGCCAACCTCCATGATTTCGGCTGACCGTTGTTCGTGTTTGTATGCTCTAGTGAATGATGCGGCGTACCATGACAAATAGATCCCTGTCTACTAATCTTCCTCTTGTTGAGGTTGTAAAATCCTTATCTATATCATAGGGAGGGGGTTAACCTTGTTCCTAACTCCGTCTCTGTAAATCTACAGCTTATCGAGGCGTCGGACCAGTGAAGCCTCGTCGGGTCTTCTCCCATTTCTTCTTTTCCTTGGTTTCCCTTCGGTTTCTCTTCCTCTCGCTTCTCTTCTAAATTCTCTTCGGAAAATCTTGCAACTTTCACCCAAAAGTCAAAAAATTTCACAAATTGGAAATTTTTTGTGGCTTTTTCGTGATTGTTTTTCCGTGCAAGATTTTTGGTGATTCATTTTTGGTACACATCAAGGGGGAGTATTGTGAAGTTTATTCCTCGGGCGCTTCTCACCCTTAATGGGTTTTATAATTATTTTTTGATTATAAAAAGGGGGAGAACGATGGGTATTCGAAGCGGGTTTGTCGGATATTCATTTTCGGATTTAAAGACCGGTGTTACTTCGAGGGGGAGTTTGGTCTTGATCGCGCGAGCTCGTTGGATATTGAAGTCGTACATCCAATCCTAACTTTGAGGGGGAGAATGTTAGGGTGCAAAGTCATGCTTGGATGTGGCTTACCCTTATTGATGTGTAAATGAGTTGTCTTTCCTATAAATAGGAAGTGAGTGACACTCATATTTAGGATGATCATTTTGGAGTGTTAGACTAGAGAGAGAAATTTGTACAAACCCATTTGTATATCCTTTCTAGATCTAATATGAGCTTACACAAATTTATTTACTCCTTGTGTTCTTGAGTTTACATGATGATTCACTAGATCTTTTCTAGTTCCGCACATGCCATCATAATCAACACCACTACAAGTTAGAGAGGTGAGGTTGTGTGGCCCGGTTCATTTTAGGTGGATGTATCCATTTGAGAGATACATGAAAACACTTAAAGGGTATGTAGGAAATCATCATCGACCCGAGGGTTGCATTGCAGAGTGTTATGTGGCGGAGGAGGCCTTAGAATTTTGTTCAGACTACTTAATAAACATGAAATCAATTGGCAATCCTCATGAACGTGTTGATGAAAGAATCCGCAGCGGCAAGCCTTTATCAAAGGCTACAATCGATGTTGTAGATGCTCAGTTACTTGATCAAGCTCATCTTTATGTATTACGAAACACTGCTGTTGTGGAGCCGTATATAGAGTAAGAATTACATGAAACTGTATACTATTATACCATTATCTATCATATAAAACATTCTTCTGACTTGTAATACACTTCAGGCAACATATGTTGGAATTGAAGGATCTCAACCCCCGTCACGCTCGCAAGAGTACATGGTTGCAGAGCCAACATAGCCGGGCATTTATTAGTTGGTTTAAGAAAGAGGTTTATTTTTAAAATAAGATTGTTAGAATTACAATATTTTTAATTATTTTGTTTGAATTACATTAATTATATATTTTTCTAATAGGTTGGAAAACGTTTGGCTAACGGGGAAGATATTTGTGATGATGTTCGTTGGTTGGCCAAAGGGCCTAATTTTGTTGTTAGTAAATATAGCGGTTTTGCCATAAATGAGTATCATTTTCATACAACATCTCGAGATGAGTCTAGAACAACTCAATGTAGTGGAGTATCTTTAGTTGCACATACTATGCAGATTGCTAGTGCAAAAGACGCCAATCCTGTGAATGGTGCTGTTACTTACTTCGATCGTATAAAGGAGATATGGGATCTTGATTATCGCATGTTTGCTATTCCTGTATTCATGTGTGATTCGATTGATAGTCGTGGAGTAAAAAAAGCATGATTTAGGATTCACGGTAGTTAACTTTGATAGGCTTGGTCAGAAGTCTGAACCCTTCGTATTAGCTAGTCAAGTCAAACAGGTTTTTTATGTTCAAGATCAAGAAGATGAGAATTTGCATGTTGTTGGATTCACACCACATAGGATGTACAAGTATGGATCAAATGGTGAAACTGATGATATGTTGGAAGTTGATGCTACTTTTGATTTAACACAAGACTCCGCTTTATTAGACCTTGTTGATGATTTTTTTTGTACGCGCCCGGATGGCGAGGGCATATTAGTTTAGATATTTTTTTGCAGAATAATAAAGTTTTTGGTATGTTTTTATTTCAGATTTTGAATGTGATTAATTTTTTTCCAACTGCAACAAATAACAATGTACTTAATTTTATTTGAATCTTGTTGAAACAGGTTGTGTTTTTGTGACATGGAATCAGATTCAGCTTCTGATCACGATGAGGACTCCAAACTAAGAGGTCCAACAACAAAGGCAAAAGCTAATAAAGTGAAACTTGTAGTAACTTACAATAAAAAGGTGTCCCGGTTGGAAAGGAAGCCATAAAACTGTCTACTTTTGAGGGTTTGGTTGCAAGAACAATGGTTCCCATAACCTATGAGTCTTGGTTGGAAGTTAGTGATGAAGTAAAGGAAGGGTTATGGCAATATGTTTTGGTAAGTATCTGTTTCTTCATGTTATTACCTTTTATTCATATATGTTTTTTGTCCCTGTTTTTGTCCCTGTTCAGATCTGTTTTTGTCCTTGGTTATGGACTAACCCTTTTTTTATGTTTCAGGAAAAGTTTGTAGTTGACCCAAAGAGCCAAAAGCAAACTCTCCAATCGATCGGGAAGAAGTGGAGAAACTTCAAACATTATCTATATGCCAAGTTCATTAAGAACCGAAGTAAAGATCCCAAGGCAAATCTATTCAAACCTTCGAAAGATTATCCGTTTATAAAGAAAGAAGACTGGAAAGTTTTTGTATCCCACAGAGTTACAAAAAAGTGGGAGGTTTGTTAAACTTTTCTTATATGCATTTGGATCTCATAGAATTACAAAAAAGTGGAAAGTTAAAAGTTTGTAGTTACAATTTTATTTTTTCTAATGCAGGAGATAAGTACGAAAGCTAAAAAATACCCATGCACATCATAAATACAATCATCGTTTGAGCAGAAAAGGATATGCCGGACTCATTAATGACTTTGTATGATTCCCACTAACTATTAATTATTTTAATTGTATATATTTATGTTAATTGACTTTGTTATTCTTGATAATTTAGATGCAAGAAACCGGCAAGACGGAAGAGGAGATTGATAGGAAACTGTTGTGGAAAAAAGCAAAAGAGTTGAAGAGAGGAGGATACAAATCAGATGTGAAGATGATTGTTGATAAATTTATAAGTTTCATTGACTTTGTTATTCTTGATAATTTGTTGTTAGGCGTGTCAAAGCTAACAAATAAAGGGGTAAAAATAACTCCTTAAACACTACTACTTTGTATTAAAAATGTAATACAAGGTAAATATGGTCGATCCTCAGAGACACAAGATAAATGTTTATACCCTTTTTGCGTAAGGTACAAATGAGATCACAAAAGAAGGGGGGTTTAAATACAATGATGCAAATAAAAGACTGAAGTAACAAATAGCAATTTATTAAGTAAAGTAAATTCAAGATTTGTAAGTACTCCAACTCTATGCAAAACTAATTAGTAATGTGATCCAAAATATGAGATGATATTTGTTTAATTCCATCTAAGTTGGTATTAAAAATGCTAATAATCTCTAGCACTTCACATTCACCATTTTTAATTAATTAAAATAAAGTTTTTAATTAATTCTAATCTAACTAACCTAATCTAAACAAGTTCTTAGAATGGGTGAAAGATTGCATTATGCTTTATGTGAATTTTACCAACAACATTCAATACTCCTCATAAGCTTGGGAGTGTTAGAATGTGTGAATTTTATTTGTACTAGAATCATGGCAAGTAGTATGATTTAATACTTGTTAATTGTTCTATTTTACAAAACAATTACGAATTTTGTATAATAGATAACATGAGTGATTTAACCCTAACTCAATTGGCCAAAAAGAACTAGAATTGAAATCAAACCTTCAATTAAAACAAAATCAAATTCACTAGATAGCATTTAAAACAAACATCAAGTTAAATGATTGAATTCACACACACAATTGTCAATACATGAAGTTGGGGAGTTAAGTTTCTAGCCACTCATGACTAGAACAAGCACAAACCTAGAAATTAAAGTTAAAGTCTTACAAATTAAAATCCAAGTGAAATCCAAATGTTTTCAAGCATCAAATTGTCTTCAAAATGCTCCCAAAATCGCTTCCTAGAACTCACAAAAACGACCCTCTTTCTTCTGGAACCGGTTGCCTCATTTTAGAAAGGAGAAAAACTAATTTAAACTGACGATCTCGTTTACACGGCCCGTGTAAACTAACACTGCCTATTTACACGGCCGTGTAAACACAAAAAGTATATTGCTCAATTCGGCCAGGTCTTCGAAGTACACTGCTCATGAGTATGCGTTTACACGGCCGTGTAAACTTCTGTAAAGCTGAAATCTTCATTTTCTTGAAATCTCCCTCCTCGATGCTCCAATGGTCCCGAAACTTCATCCATATCTCTTATTCATCACCTCAATTAAGATCCTACCTTCAAAAGTCCCTGAAATATCACAAAAGTGTGTGAATGGAATTGCATCATGAAAAATCCCAGAAAATATGCAACATGCATGAGTTTAAACCTAAATGCAATGCACTTTTATGGAGTAAAACTACAAAATATATGCATGAAATGCACCTAACAAATCTCCCCAAGCTTGAACCTTTCTTGTCCTCAAGAAAGAACAAGAAAAATTTAAACTAGAGAAGATAAAAAAGAAAAGAAAAGAAAATCAAAACCAAAACTTTTGAAACTTACTGCAAGAAATCAAAACAAGCATGATAAATAATCCAACCCAATTAACCCTGTTTTTGTACCATAGTTGAGAATGTACCTGTCGTGCCTTGAGTCAACTTGGCTTTAGTCTCAAATTATATAACAATAGAAATAAGACTTTACCACTCCCTAATGCAACTCAACAGAATCAAAGACTACAACACTTGTTCCCTCTCAATATCATCAAGTCAATTCATGGAAAAAAATATGGTCTTACTCTCGTGAAATTGTGTGTGACAAAAACAAGCTCGATCATCTTTGTTTCATAAAATATAACAATGATCGATTCCAACTATTTGTTGATTAACAACAATCTTTTTTCTAAAAAATACCTTTTAAAAATTCCCTAATATTTACCCAGATTGGTTACAAATTTCAAACCACTTACAGCGGTCAAAGTAATTAACATTCAGTCCTAATGTCATAAGTTCAAATCCAAGTCCAAAGGAATCTTTTGGCAGCCAAGCATTTTTCTTAAACATATTATTCAATTAAACTATAAACACAAATATATACAAACTTTCTAATTACATTTTTCTACAAATAAAGCTCATGGCTTTCTTTGAAATCCGTGTAACGGGCTTCCAACCAACACATCCAGATCAAATGACCTTAGTGTGCTAGATTTAAAGAGATCCCTCGGGTTTACTTGCCCGAACCTCAAACGCCACAGATTAGCTTTATTTGTTATTATTAAGTTCATGACTTTCTATGGAACCCGTGTACCGAACGTTCAACTCAATCAGTCCCAAACAATTTAGCTTTAGGCGATTATGTGTAGAACACCCCTCATAGTTTACTTGTTCGAGTCCCAAAGGTCACAGATTAACTTAATAACAATATATATATATATATATATATATATATATATATATATATATATATATATATATATATATATAACTAAGATAACACATAACACTCTTATTAATTTATTTATTTGGCCTATTTCTTTATATTTTCGTCCTTGAATTTTTTATAGTGGGACATCTCACGGTCTATTACCGTGAGGGCTTCTAGACATTTTTCGGGGGACTGAAGTTAACATGCAAAGACCCGTAGGTATAGTTTGAAATATGTCCTCAAGCAAGGTATATAAAAGGGAATGAGTAGAAATGACGTTTTAGAGCGCTGGAAGGCTCGGGACCTTGAGATTTTATATTCTTTTTATGAATTTTGAATTTGGCATTTTTAGTTCAATTGAGCATTTACTACTCATAAGACCAGTCATGCGTCCCAAAGAATTGACTCATACCTGCTGTTATGCTCCAATGTTGACAATCTTCTCACTTTCTGTTTTGCACAAGTAGCTTCGGGAGGTGTGTTCGTGTGCAATTAACTTGCTTTTAAATATTCAATAAAAAGAGCAAGTCTAATCTCAAGGCATATGACTTACTTATCGGCTCAATTGTTTTGAGAAGATTCGGTTGCTTGGGATTGGATCAAATTTTTTTTTTAAAACAAAAGAATGCAATGCAAAAATTTAGATGCAAAATGCAAAGAAAATAATAAAAATTAGAATAGAAAGAAAATATTTTATTATTATTATTATTATTATTATTATTATTATTATTATTATTATTATTATAATATTATTTTTTATGTAGAAAAAAGGAAAAAGAAAATGAAAATTAATGCAGTATGTACAAAATTACATGCAACCTACATGCAACGGGATTTATGCATGGATGGATGCCCCTCCCCAAGCTTAAAATAAGCATTGTCCTCGATGCTTGGAGAGAGGCGTAGCCGGCGTATTGAGGGCCGGGCGGTGGTGGATGTCGAGGGAACTGTGAAGGATAAACAGTAGGATAATATGGAGGCCACTGGGGTTGGGATGATGATGGTTGCTGCTGCGTGGGAAGGACAAGTACTCGGTGAATATCGCTCAACAAGTGATGAATGTTTCTGTTACGTTGCTCCTGAACGGCCCACCGTTGATCTTGCTCGGCCCATCGCAACTCTTGCTGGGCCCAACGCTCTTCCTGAAGATTACGGTAGTCTTGAAATTCGGAAGTATTTTCAGCAACACCCGTATAAATCTCTCCTGCCTCCTGCTATAAGCTCGTGTAATGGTGGTCTAAGCGTGCAAATTCGCCCATGTAAAGATTGTGTTCAGGAAAAGGAATGTGGCGAGATGAGCTGGAAGCACCTGCAGTTGCAATTGGAGCAGGAGGATTAGGAATGGTGGTTGGAGGTCTACGGGTTGCAGTAACACCCAAGTTGGATTGAAGGTTCCAATTGGTAGATGGGATGTCATTGGCCAAGGCTAATATCTTCTTATTTCGACTGTCGATGCGTAGATATTCTTTACCATCGACAGTCCAACGAACATCCCCATTGGGATTGCGGTGAAAGAGGTGCATGGTTTCCATAACATCAAGTGATAAACGAGTACGACCCACAATTATATTGGTTGGATTGTTGGGTAAATGGAGGCCAAGATGTTCAGCTACAATAGAAACCATGCCTCCATAATGAAGCTGGTCACCATAGCTCATGGAGTTTTCGAGCATTTTCTGAATTACCCAACACCCGAAATGAGGAACTTCCTCGGGCTTGTTAATCATGCACCACAAGACTTCCAACTCTTTCTTTTTTGCTTTGCTAATCTCCTCTTACAGTGGTAAGTATTCCCGCCTGTCACGCGGGTGACCCAGGTTCGATCCCCCGCAACGGCGCCAATTTGTTAGGCGTGTCAAAGCTAACAAATAAAGGGGTAAAAATAACTCCTTAAACACTACTACTTTGTATTAAAAATGTAATACAAGGTAAATATGGTCGATCCTCAGAGACACAAGATAAATGTTTATACCCTTTTTGCGTAAGGTACAAATGAGATCACAAAAGAAGGGGGGTTTAAATACAATGATGCAAATAAAAGACTAAAGTAACAAATAACAATTGATTAAGTAAAGTAAATTCAAGATTTGTAAGTACTCCAACTCTATGCAAGACTAATTAGTAATGTGATCCAAAATATGAGATGATATTTGTTTAATTCCATCTAAGTTGGTATTAGAAATGCTAATAAGCTCTAGCACTTCACATTCACCATTTTTAATTAATTAAAATAAACTTTTTAATTAATTCTAATCTAACTAACCTAATCTAAACAAGTTCTTAGAATGGGTGAAAGATTGCATTATGCTTTATGTGAATTTCACCAACAACATTCAATACTCCTCATAAGCTTGGGAGTGTTAGAATGTGTGAATTTGATTTGTACTAGAATCATTGCAAGTAGTATGATTTAATACTTGTTACTTGTTCTATTTTACAAAACAATTACAGATTGTGTATAATAGATAACATGAGTGATTTAACCCTAACTCAATTGGCCAAAAAGAACTAGAATTGAAATCAAACCTTCAATTAAAACAAAATCAAATTCACTTGATAGCATTTAAAACAAACATCAAGTCAAATGATTGAATTCACACACACAATTGTCAATACATGAAGTTGGAGAGTTAAGTTTCTAGCCACTCATGACTAGAACAAGCACAAACCTAGAAATTGAAGTTAAAGTCTTACAAATTAAAATCCAAGTGAAATCCAAATGTTTTCAAGCATCAAATTGTCTTCTAAATTCTCCCAAAATCGCTTCCTAGAACTCACAAAAACGACCCTCTTTCTTCTGGAACTGGTTGCCTCTTTTGAGAAAGGAGAAAAACTGATTTAAACTGACGACCTCGTTTACACGGCCCGTGTAAACTAACACTGCCTATTTACACGGCCGTGTAAACACAAAAAGTATATTGCTCAATTCGGTCAGGTCTTCGGAGTACACTGCTCATGAGTATGCGTTTACACGGCCAGTGTAAACTCAAGGCTTGCATTTACACGGCCATGTAAACTTCTATAAAGCTGAAATCTTCATTTTCTTGAAATCTCCCTCCTCGATGCTCCAATGGTCCCGAAACTTCATCCATATCTCTTATTCATCACCTCAATTAAGATCCTACCTTCAAAAGTCCCTGAAATATCACAAAAGTGTGGGAATGGAATTGCATCATGAAAAATCCCGAAAAATATGCAACATGCATGAGTTTAAACCTAAATGCAATGCACTTTTATGGAGTAAAACTACAAAATATATGCATGAAATGCACCTAACATTTGTCCCATTTTTTTTCTAACATTGGTCCTAATTTTTTTACAGGATGAGCTGCAGAAATCGGAAAGCTTTGGAGAGGTTACATGTGGAACACATGATGTGCTTACAGAGGCCTTGGGTACTCAGGAACAACGTGGGCGTGTACGGGGGATGGGTAAATTTATAACGCCACAACAATACTTTTATTTACCCAAGAATTTTAAGTATTACTTGGAGATTTAGAACGAGAGGGTGGATAAACGAATCAACAAACTTGAAGATGACTTGGTGAAACTAAAAAGAGGTGTACTTAATGTTTCTGAAGCCGCAAGTTGCCAAGTAGGGGGCGTCATTGAAGATGTTGAAAAAGAACCATAGGATGAATCACTTGTAAGTCCTTGAAGACAATTATGAAAAGTATATTTAAAGTATTTTTTTTTTCTACAAACTAACATACTATATTTTGGTAGGATAATTCATGTCTTCTTACGGTTGAATTTGTTGCAAATGTAGTCGCTAAAGGAACTATAATGAAGTATAGTGCATCGGGTATTTTGAAAAATATTTGCATTATTACTATTTATATATTTTCATTTTTTAGAAGATTGGATCTTAATTATTTTTTACGTTTATGTAACAGATGAAAACATTAAAGTTATGATGGAAATTTTTTTACAAGGAGAAGCTTTAATACCCATTCCACTTGAAGAGGAGTTCATTGTGAAGGTCAAAGATGCACTGGGACACATACTAAGTTAGCCAAGACACTTAGTTATTCGATGCTCTGACCTGGTAATACTATTTGCACACAAAGTTTTCACAGATTTATCCTTGGTTTTCTTAATTTTTCTGATATTTGAGTGAGTTCTTTTTCAGCTCCAGTAAATGATTCCTGTTTCATTATGTATTTTTGATAATTTTTGTAGGGAAAAGTGGTGGCGTCACCTGTGAAAAAACATGCAACACCATTAAAGAAAGATGCAACACCAGTGAAGGAAGATGCAACACCTTTAAAAGAAGAAATAGGAAGTAATAAGAAAGAAAAGGGGACAGGAAAAATGGGTGATGAAAAAAAAGAACCATGTGATCTGGAAGAAGGGAATGATATGGAAGAAGGGAATGGAATAGAAAAAAAAAGATTAAAAAGAAGGAGAAACAAAATGTGACCTTGCAAAGAAGGTGGACCAGAGCACAGATGAATACAAGGATGAGGATTGAGAAGAGTAGTATTTTGAAAATGACTGCAATGATGGCTGATGGACAAGTTACAAAGGTTGATTCTATAAAAGTGCAGAGTGAGAACGATCTTTTTGGGTACGATAGTTACACGTACTTAAATTGGGATGATTTTGAAGCAGTTCTTACAATGGATGAGTTGACTGGTGCTGTCATTGTGTCTTATATGATGTAAGTGCAAGAAATTTAATTTAAATAACATTGTGTCTTAAAACAAAATTTGTTTAATGAATTTAGTGTTTGTATGATAACATGGTGTTTTTTAACAAAATGAAGTATGGCCCCCCAGAAAGAGATCATGAAATTTGCTTTGTGAACCCGACATTAATCTCGCCAAGTATGCGTAATGGGAAATCTAAGAATATTGATGATGCAAGCAGAGGTTTAGCAAATCGGTTGTCTAATAGAAAGGGCAAAAGACATCACCTTTATGCCCTACAATCCCGGGTTTGATTTTGACATTTTATTTTGAAAATGACTCCAATTATGTTATTTGACTTAATTTTGTTTGTGGTTTTTGTAGAAGACATTAGGTATTGGGTGTACTAGACATGAAATCAGATACTTGCTATTATCTTGATTCCTTGAGTTCTGGCAATTTCAATATGCAGTTGAAGTAAATTGTTGATTCGTAAGTAATACAAATTATCAAAACATTTGATGTGAATACAATAAATACCTATTTGTTAATGTTTTTGTAGGGAAATGGTTTTGTACGCTACACAAAGTGGATCCAACAAAATGGTTAAACTAAATTGGGTTAATGTTATGGTCAGCACTTAATTCCTTATTGAAATTGCAGTTTTAACTTTATTTTTTTGGATCAATTGCACTGATCATTTTATATGTAATTTTGTAGTGTCCAGTTCAGCCCGGATCTACCGAATTTGGCTACTACATGCTAAGGTTCATGAAGGAGATAGTGGAAGAAGGAATTGAAGTGTTGGTCAAAGACAATGTAAGGATATAGCATTCTAATTTCATTACTATAGTTTAATAGGAAAGGAATTGAAAAAGGATCATTTTATGGCATCCTACTCTCATAATTATAATTGAAATATTAGGTTACATGCCAAAATAACAATGTGTTTCATTCATTTGAAAGTACAATGCTCTATTAAGAAAGAATAATATAGATTTTATGCTTATTTGTTAAATATAGCAACTTACTGTTATAGAATATGTTAATATGCTACTTTTTATTAATAAAAACAATATGCAAATTTTTTCACTGATCGGGGATGGCAAAGTTGAGTACACAACTGATGATATCGATGAGATACGTGAAGAATGGTCAGAGTTTGTTACGAGCTTCATTTATCAATGATATGTATGGTCTTTTGACAATGTATCCGCAAAACAATGTTATGGTTAACAGTGAAATGCTAGGTATGGTCCTTTGACATGTGGTGTAATGCTAGGTAGTCTTTTGACACCCATGTGTACATGTTTTTGTTAACTTTTAGTAATGTTACTTAGGTAACTTGACATGTAGTGTAACTTAGGTAATTCGACATATATGTAATGTTGTTAGGTAACTTGTTTGATGTTTAGATGAAAATGACTGTTTTGGTATATATATTTGTTTTTTTATTATGTGTATTCACGTTGTAAATGTGTGTCGTAAATGCACATCATAAAGGTGTACAGTCAGTACACCTGGAAATTATAACACGCAAATGCATGTCATCTTCGTTTATGACAGTAGATTTAATGATAAGCATTGCGTGTCGTAAAGGTGCGTCGTAATGTTACGATACGCAACGATGTGTCGTCTTACTTTATGACATGGGCTTCCTTGATATGCGTTGCGTGTCATAAACATGGGCGTCGTAAGGTTACGACACGCAAATGCGTGTCGTCTTCATTTATGACATGGTTTTCCTTGATACGCATTGTGCGTCGTAAATGCGTGTCGATTGTGGACGACGCGCAAAAATGTGTCGTCTCTCGTTATGACAGGGCCTTCCTTGACGCGCATTTGCGCGTTGTAAAAGGCTATTTTTCTAGTAATGGGGGAGGACATGCTAGACACATATTGAGGGCTCATGAGAATTCCAAATACGAGTTTAGGGTCGGGAAGGACATACAAGACTCGTACTGAGCGCTTAGTAGTATTCAATTTGAGGACTGATCAGGCTGGGGAGCAAGTGAAACATAAGCTGTGGGCTCGAGGGGCAAGCCAGACTTATTCTGTGGGCTTAGGGAGCAAGCCAGACATAAGTTGTGGGCGAAGTGCAAACCGGACATATGTTGTTGGATAAGGGGTAATCCAGTATGTTATTTGTAGACCCATTGCATGCTGTTATTGTATATGTGCTTTTTGTATGTGTATTGGTATTTTGGGGGAACTCACCAAGATTTGGTCTTACAGTTTTGGATTATGTTTTAGGTACCTTAGAGGATCGCAAGAAGGCGAATGCGTGATCGTGCACCTCCTCGAGTTTTGATTTTATGATTTTGGGAAAACTCTGATATTAAACCTGTATTGAAAACTATTTGTAAACAATGATAATTTATGGGTTGTTTTAAAAGTCTAAATTTTTCATGAATTTTATGGATGTTACAGCTGTTTTCCGAACATCCTCACCATGAACCCTCATCTGGTGATAACTTGAATGCAAATCAATCTTGGAGAACCAAGACGCACCCTGCAACTACTCGAACAAATCATCAATCCTCAGAAGTGGATAACGGTTCTTCACCGTCAACTTGTCTAACTCCTGATAATCAATGCACATCCTGTGGGGGCCATTTTTCTTCTTTTCAAACAGAATCGGTGCTCCCCAGGACGAACTACTAGGTTTGATAAATCCCTTGTCTAATAGCCCGTTCAGCTGTGTAGACAACTTCTGCATCTCCGGTGGTGCCAACCGATAAGGTGCCTTGGCTATTAGAGCTGTACCTGGAACCAGATCCATACGAAACTCCACCTACCTCCCCGGAGGCACTCTAGGCATGTCCTTCAGGAACACATCTGAATACTCTCAAACGAATGACACATCATCAATCAGCCTCTTCTTCTCCTCCCTGGTGTCCAACACATCAATTAAAACTCATGTTAGGACTCGTCTAGAGCCTCATCATTTCCATGTGTGCACATAACTTGGCTTTAGAAGAAACAAGTTGAACTAGATCGCGACTTAATAGATCCCTCAGATCAAGTAGTGTAACTTAGCTTGTACTAAGCAGTCACATTGATACGTGAGGACTCCAACTAGGTTGTAAAATGCCAAAGCTCAGTCTCAAAACTATACACAAAACCCGTGTTCAAGCTCACGGGTAAGCAGAATACCTTGATTTCGTAATCGGAACATATGACGTGCTTAACTAGTTTGATAACTTATCAAACTCAATTTAATTAACTCATAATTTGATTTAATTACAAGTTCGAAATAATATCCACACATCATAATTTGAATTATGAGCAAAAAATTATAAACCAATGATTGTCTTACCCCACATTCATATGTTATGAACCTTTATTTCATTTATTTGTAATATAAAAAAATTGATTTTATAAAAATCCAATCATAAGTTATCATTTTTATAACTTAATTCAAGATAATTCAAGTTTGTGAACTTAATTCTAAAAACAAATACTTCAAAAAAACAAACTCTTGTAAGTTTATGAAAATACTTAGAGTTTTTATAAAAGTTAAAGCCAAATTTTTATAAAACTTAAGGGAAGGCTTTAAGAGGGTATCCTTACCAAGAAAAGCCTCATAATACCCCTCTCTCCTCCCAAAAAATTCGGCCACACACAACCTCTTACTCTCTCTCAGTCATTACATTGTGGCTCCCATATTGCAAAATCCCGAGACCAGATTTTGCATGTTAATATAAGATAAAAAAACAACGAACTTAGATTCAAAATCTCTAGGAGAGATTTAGTCAGTCCGTTTTTAATTTTTTTACCTACACTCCTGTACTTTGGTGGAGTATAGCCCCAAAGAGACGACGAGAAAGATAGCCTATCCAAAGAGACAGAAATTCACTTTCTCTCATTCTTCTCTCTAAAAACACTCAACTTCTCTTTCATTCTCCAAGGAGCCTCTCCCATCCCCAAAATCTATTAAACATCTAAAAAATCATCCATATTCTTCCCTATTTTTTCGATTCTTGAAGGCCACTAGTAGTTCTTGCTTCACCAAAAATCAAAATCAAGGTGAGAAACACAACATATCCTTACGATTTTACAACTTTACTTCTTCTTCTTCTTCTTCTTCTTTTTCTTCTTCTTCTTCATGTTCTTCTTTTATTTTCAGATTCTATACCCTCTAATGGCTAGAAATCATTGATTGTCTCTTGGTTTTTGACAATATTCTTATTTTACTCTTTATGTCACTTTTCACATCATAAATCATGAAAGTTTCCAAAATTAGAATTTTTTTTAAAATTTGATATTTTCCATCAAATTACTACCATTATGTTCTCATCTATTTATAATTGACACGTCAAGTGTATGTTATCTCTTTTTCTGAGTATTTTTATAAATCAAATTTAAATTTTAAATAAGGAGCATGGATTTTTGGACATTGTACACTTAACTTCTTGACCCAAGCATGTTATTTCTTTCCCTCAATGCAATTTTTTATCTAATAAGAAAAACATAGGATCAAACCTTGGGTCATTTTCAAAATACTTACTTTTCTCTTTTAACAACAACTTAATTAGTTTCCTTATGGAATTTCTAGCATCGCTCTTGTCAAACTTAGAGTGTCTACTACCATTGATGTTCTTGCATCCTTATCAACCATTTATGATTCATTCTCTCTACGTAGTAAAGTATTCTTATTCTAGCTATTATGATCAACGTCGTCAACAACATGTACTTTGGAACTAGAAGCTTCCTCCATATAGAGTGTACCGTATTTATGATCTCTAGAAGCCACTAAGTTTCTTTATGTTCCTTGACATGGATAACCACCATAAATAGCTTAGTGACCCTCACCGTCGAGTTGGTCTACCTATATCAGCATTCCATTCGAAAGAACTTGATTTTCCACAAGTTCTAAATTTGTACCAAAGGTTGCTTTTGGGACCGCATCCCTAATGACAACAATAATGCACTGCGCTAACAATCCAGATCTAGAATTGTGCTTAGTCCCATTATTCACCGCATTTCTACTCTTATTCGTAGACGTTTGGGAACTGGAATTGGAGGCAATCGTTACCCTTGGAGTTCCAACTTGAGATGTCTTTCCCATTCTTCAATTAACATCTACTCCCCGACTTGGATATTTCCATTGGCACTTTATCTATACATGTCCTTATCAAGGACCCAATCGTGAATGCTTTCAAAATTTAGCTATCCAACCCTAATGGAGCTGCTAACTTGACCTGATACTTGGAAAACTATCAAGTAACTGACAAAAGTAGCAATAACATGACAATATCTTCTAACCCAGTGTCAACCGAGACTAGTCTTGAGGTAATTGAGTTGTGTTTTTTCACATAAATTTTCACAGAGCTACCCTTTCACATTCATATGCCATAGCCAACGAATCAAGTGGAACTTGTTTACAGTAGAGGATGTTTCATACATTTTGGACAATGCTCGTATCAAATTGCGGGTCGTCTCCACCCTAGCAAGGTTATATGCATATCCTTCACCATCAATAATTTTAGCACTCCAAGTGCTTGTTGGTCCAGATGGTTCTGATCCTCTTACGATATATATGAAGTATTAAACCCACTGGGATGGTAGATACAATTTATTTTATTGGAGATTGCCAAGGACCACTAGAGAGCACAATCCAATTTAGGTGGATGTGGATCTATTGGTGAAATCTACACACTTCCTTCCCATTCGAGAAGATTACCGAATGGAAAATCTTGCCCATATTTATATAAACAAGATCGTAGTACGTCATGGAGTACCTATTTCCATTATTTTGGATAGAAATAGTTGCCTGGATATAGATAGCCGCCTTACATCACAAATATGGTATTCACTTCAGAAAGCCT